ATTGTTGAGATTATATTTTTCTATTCAACTGGATTCATTGATTGTGATTAAGATATCGACTGTATGTTGATTGTGATCAAATGATTGAAAAGTGAAAGCAATTTAAGGAGTGAGTCCCTCAGGCTTAATTAAATGTTTTTATTTCTTAATTGTTGGAGGATTCAGTTAACTTTTTTTTTTGTTGAAATTCATTAAAGTTAATTGTAGCCAACATATTCCGGTCAAAAGTTGATAATAACTGTTTAATGATTTGAGAGATTTGAATTTGATTTTGATTTGAATTGATTGAATGGTAACAAAACAACATGATGATGATTATAAACACACCCGATTGTGTATGTTGTTGATTTAAAGTTGATTAACTGATTGTTTCATTTTAATTTGTTTTGATTTTTGTTTTGTTTTGTTTTGTTTTAGTTTTGGTTATTGGTTAATTAATCTAATGAACTTGACTATTATATTAGATTATATTATAATATTGATTATAAGCCGAGATTAAATATTATAATAGATGAAATGAATGAGAAACTTGGTTGAGCAATTTACAAATTGTGAATTGACATTATTATTATTATTTGGCAGTTTGTTCATAAATTTAGACAATTATCATTATAGTTGTTACAATTAATTGATGGTATTAATTAATTTACCAGAGAGCAGGGGCGGCAGCTGGAGCAGCAACAACCTTGGCGGCTACTGGAGCGTATGAGGCGTGGTTGATTACGCTGGAATAATGAGCACCGGCGACGGGGAGGGCAGCTGGGGCATAAGCGGGGCATAAGCGGGGCAGCTGCGACAATCTTAGCTGGAGCTGGTGCATAGTAAGATGGAGCAGCTGGAGCAGCAGCTACAATTGGAGCTGGGGCAGCTGCGACAACTGGAGCAGCAACAGCGACTGGGGCAGCGATGACTCCGGGTGATGAGATGCTGGTGGATGCAGCGGGCTTAGGGCGGTACCTGGTTCGTTGGTTGAGATGGCGGCACGGAAACCGAGAGCATCAGCGACGTAGTTGACAACTCGTTGTCTTCCATCAACAACACCAAGTGAGTAAGATCCAACAACTTGACCGAGCGTTTCCAGATTCACTTCGTGATGAACCACCGGTGGCATGGTTTTCATTGTAAGCGAAAGCGTAGTTTCCAAGACCATCTTGGCTTCGGGTTTGTGATGATGAACCAGTTGAGACAATGGCGGCTGGGGCGGCGATGATTCCAGCTGAGGCAATACCGCAGAGAGCGAGGAAGATGATGACCTAATAATCCACAGATAGAAAATTAATCAGTTGATTGGTTGATTGTATTTCTAGGAATCTAATTGATAAAAATAAAAGTCAAGAGAAAAGTAAATGAAAACTTACCTTCATGATTAGTTAGTTGGTTTGTTGTTTGATTACTTTGATCAAGTGAATAAATGAATTAACTGATTGTGAATGATGATTTAGATTGAGAGGAATCAGCCTTTATACCAAAAATTAAAGTGAGATTAAGATGAAAGTGAGAGTAAAAGTTAATTTGAGTGAGAAGAGGAAGATGGATGAGGATGGAGAGAGAGAGAGAGAAGAGAGAGAGAGAGAAGAGAGAGAGAGAGAGAGAGAGAGAGAGAGAAGAGAGAGAGAGAGAAAGGAAAGTGAGAACGAGAGAAAGTGAAAAAGAAATAAAAGAAGATGAAAAGAAAGAGAAAGAAAGAGAAAGATGAAAACCCCACCTGAATCTGACGGCGCTTGAATATTTTGACTATTGATTCCACCCTTGATTAAAGATGTTATTTGATTCATTTGAAGGAAACCAACTATGGCCACAAGGTCACTTTAATATCAATTGGCATTTTATAAAATAATAACAAATTGATCTTAAATAATAAATACTGACCTTAAATTGGATTAAATCAATAATTATAATCATGTAGGCGATCAAATCTAATCAAAACTAACCCAGTAATCACTTTCTATTACCATAATCTGTGGATCGTCTTCCTTATTTAATCTGCAAACTTAATCATCTTCACTAACTTTTAATCTTAATCACCTTTTCCAAGCCTAGGTTAGTATCTTAATCATTTTGCAATTAATCCTTTTTCCTAATTACCAATTATCCTATTATAATTGCAAAACTTGTCAATTAAAATTGATTCACTTTCGCTGTCATAAACATGAACTTTAAACTTATATGAACTAATTTCCAATCCTGATAGACTGAATTAAACAACTAAATCAGTCATAATAATCACGACCAAAAAGCAAAACAATCAAAAAATCAAATGCTCAACTCATTAAATTGCTCATATTACATCAGAACAATTAACAAATGATGCAAGTTTCTGATTAATTAGCATTTTCCTTACAAAAGAAACCTAATGATTAACATTTAATTTCTCCAAACTCACATAATCCGAACAATTTAAATCACAATTATCTAAACATCCATCCGATGCTAATGTTCACAAGGACGTGGTACTAATTATGATTATCGTATTTTAATAATTGAAAATTTTATCAAACAATTAACTCCAAACCATTAAACCTTTAGACTACAGTAGGTGTTTAAACAACAATAGTTTAATGTAAATACAATTAAGATCAGTGTAAGAATCGCAAGCAAACACTAATTATTTTAATTTGATTGTTAATTTTAATTACTGTCTAGTTGATTGTTGTAAAATCCAAACGTCACCTTGTATCCATAATGATTATAAAAGTGTTTAAATTATAATAAAATATCAATTCGAATTCATTAGAACAAAACAAAAAGAAGAAAAAAAAAGTTTTTCTAGTAACGAAAAGTTCTGACGGGCAATTCCCACCTCTTTGTCCTTTTTCCTCTTTCTTCCTAGTTTTTCCCTCTCCACCTTAGTCTTATTTACTCACTCTCATTATCCTCATCATCCTCATCATCATTATCTTCCTCATCATCTTATACCTTCATCTTCATCTTCATCCAGAATCAACTGAAGATTAGAAAATGATTTTAACCTTGATTTAAGGGCAGGATAAATGTTGGAACGTTAATATTATGGGTCTAGGTGAATCTATTTAATTATCACAGTTTAATTTGTATTCTGTAGTTGGTTGATTGTTGTTAGTTAATCATCACCATCAGTAAATTAACCTTGAAGAAATTAAGAATAGAAAGAAAATTCTTCTTTCAAAATTGAAATTCTGTTCAACTATTTAAACAACAATCAGACAACATTGAGTGTTAACATAGAATTAATTTAATTGTTAATTGTAACGATTAACAATTAACATGTTTCTCCTTTGTTAATTTCTCATTTGATTATGTTTAATAATTTTAAGATTATGATTAACTTTTGAAGCTTCAAAGTTTCATTGATAATAACAAGTTTCTTATTTTTTAAGTGTTAATGTTTTGGCTAATTGTTAATTCATTTGATAACATTGATGATTTTCAAGTAGTTAATTGATGATTAATCAATTGTCTCAATGAAAAATTAAAATTGACAATAATTAATCAGAACGAGGTTGTTGATTTGTTTTAGGAATCAAACTTTTTCCCAATCATCTTACAAATTTGACTCCTTGTTTAATCACAATTAAAGATGATTAATTAATTTTTCAATGTTGATGTTAAATTGGATCGAGATGTGGGCTGTCATCTTCAAAATAATTTACTAATTGTTCAAATATTATAACAATTAGGAAGGTTTTTTATTCCACAATCAGTTGATTTTAAATTCAGTTCTATGATTATCATGGGTTAGGTTAACAATTTTTTCTTAATCAATATAATTTTCACTGTTAAACAACAATCAATGAAGTAAATTAAACGTTAATTACAATTATTGTAAACTGATTTTTCCTGTTAAATTATTTTTCTTCATTTGGGCGATCCTATCACAATTTATTAATCATAATTATAATAATTGTTGTTCACCTTCAGAAAGAAAAATTATTTTTCTTTACTTTAACAACAATTTAGTTAATTCCTCTATTATTTTGATTACAATTTGTTTTGTTGAATTTTATTCAATCAATATTTTCAAATGGTTACAATCAATACTTTTGTAACAATTTGATTCATTGATTGTTAAATTTTTTTTTATAATCAATGAACAATCAACTATACGGAAAGAAAAGGAATCATCAATTAATCAAATTTTCATCCATAGATTTAATTGTTGACCAAATCTTTTAATTGGTCAGTTAGTTCAGGTCAATCTCGACCCTTATTATTAATCAGTTGATTAACTTTTCGACTTATTAACTTATTTTATCTGATTAGTTTGATGCAATCAGTTAATCATTTGTTTTCCTTAATTTTTTTTTACTCAATTAAAATTTAATAGGGAAAAGTTAATCATTTTGTTTCGTCTTCGAGATTAAATTAAATTTGATCAATTGGTGAAAAGTTTAAATTTAAATTATTGATTTTAATCATTTAAGTTGAAAATGTCAATTTCAACTTTGTAATTTAAACCGATACATGATTAAAATTGATAAACTGTCCTTGACATTAAGATGGACGACACAAAGTTTAGGTTAATTGTTGCAATTAATTAGTAAAAGATTAAATCAGCTGATGGTTTAAGGAAAAAATTGTTTCTAATCATCTAAAAGTAATTAAGTAAAAGACTTAAATTAAAACGTTTACAAATCTAAAAGTAGGGGATCAGTAAATTGGGCTATTTAATGGTCTACCTTATATGTGTTTAATTGTGATTAACAATATAAATACTAATTGTGATTAGGAAAAAAATTAAATAAAATTTTTCTCTAAATTGTTTCCACTTTTTGAATTGGAGATTTGCTTTGAGTTTAAGTTGGTTTAAGTTTAATTAATTAACTTCAATGTCAACAAGTGTAATCAATCAAAATGATCGTATTTTTAGGTGATTAATCATTAATTTTCTTTTAATTAACTTTGATTCTAATTAGTTGATCATTTCTTTCATTTTGATACAAGAAAAAAGTTCAACATGATTAGTTTCCTTTCCTGTTGTTAGATGGCAGCACTTTCGATTTGTTTACATTTTTCACTTCTTTTTCGGTTTTGTGTTCAAATAATTACTGATTAATTTAGTTCAATAATTGAACTTCAATTGTTTTCCTTCATTGATTAATTGCTGATTAACCTTTTTAATCTTATTTCTAGTTAATTGTTCTCTGTTTCTGTTTAAGGATGAATGAACACTTTAGAGGTCCAAAGGATTCCATTGATTTACTTAATCGCGCCTTCGCTGAGATTGGATTGGATTTACCAACTATTCAATCAGGATGAATTCAATTGATGACGATGATACATTCCTGTTCACCTCTGAATCTGTGGGAGAGGGACATCCAGGTAAATTATTAACAACTAAATCAATTTGATGATCACAAATTTTTGGTTTGTTTTTGTTTTCAATCTAATTGAATCCATGAAACCAATTGTTTATTTTAATTCATCAACATTGTTAACAATAATATCTGATTTATTAAGAGTTTTAATTGTTGAGTAAATTATTATTCTTGTTTTTTATTCACTCGTTTAAATTATTAGGAAACAAATAATTATGAAAGTAAGTTTGATTTCCTTTCGATTGCAATCTATTGAAATTCAATGATCACGACCAATATTCTGGTCATTCATTTGTTTCAATTGTTTTTCTCGAGGCAAATGGGAAGTTCAAGATTATCGAGATTTAATCGTTCATTGTTTTATATCATTGTTATTAATCAGCGTGTACTCACTATACCTGAACGAACCCATGGTTCGGGTCCTGTGTTCATAATTTGGCAGCCGAATAAAGCAAGTTACCTGGTTACAATGGGCTATGATAATACGGTGATAGTTCATGATTGACATGGAAATAAAATCGATACAATTAATTTACCAGGGTAATTAGAAAAGACGAAACAAACAATCAAGAAAAAGAAATTAAATTATTTTCTATTTTCTTTATTGTGCCCAGTCAGTGTACTGGACTTTCATGGAATGTTGAAGGTAATATTTTAGGTGCAATTAGTGGTAAATCACCGATAATTTACCTTTGGGATTCGAGTGTCCATAAGATGTCTAGAGTTGACACCGATGTTCGTGACATGTTAACCATGTTGGTTTGGTCAAAAAAAGATCATCTTCTTGCCGTTGGAACGAGTAAAAGAAATTTAAAGGTTAACCTTCATTTTTAACCTTTACCACAATTCAACCTCGAGATACAATTAATTCATCGACAGGTAATAATTGTGTTAGTCTAATTCTCAATAAGAAGAATCTATTTCTCCTGAGATTAACTGACATGGGAATCTTTATATCATGAGTTTCATGATATTTGAATCGAATAAGTTGAAGCTGCTTTGGAATTGGTTGATGACCATGAATTACACATTGAATGTGATTCTATATTGGAATCGTTGAAACTTTATTCAGAAGCTACTCAACTTTATGAACAGGGTGGTGATGGTGAAAAAGTGGCTAAATTATATTTGTCCGTTCGAAATACACTAAAAGTTGGACAATTGATCGATAAGTTTTCCTTAACTAATGTTGATATTCTTAATCAATATGGCCGAATCAAGGAAAGTCAAGGTGATTACAAAGAAGATGTTAAAGCTTATCTAAGCTCTGGATTAACGATTGATTCGGTTCGTCTTCTTCTCGATAAGCTTAATCCAAGTGAAGCCGTTAGATTGGTAAAAGATTCTGGTAGTTTAGAAGGAGCTAAAATGATCGCTTGATTTTCCAAAAGATCAACGATATCGAATCTGCGATTAAATTTCTAATCCTTTCCAAGTGTACCGATGAAGCTTTTAAATTAGCAACTTCAACAGGTAATGTTGATATTTTCGCTAATTTCTTACTTGATTTAACTGATTAGCAACAATCAAAAAACAATGAACCATCACTATTAAATCACAACCATCAATATAATCAATATTTTCCAGGCTATTAAATCGTGAACCCGTTTGTCCAATGTGTGGATCGACAATTGATATTAAACAATTGGAAACCATTAACGATATTACCAAGTATTAAACCCAGAGCATGATAATTAAATCATTAAACTAATCACAAATTGCTCAACAACAACAACAACAAAGTTAATTGTTAATTTGGAATTTTATACATAAAATTGAAAACATTAAACTGATCACAATTAATAAGAAAAAATAACAATCCCAAACAAAAAGAGATTCATTTTCAATCAACAATTAAATCCTTATAGAAATCATATAAAAAACAGAACCAATTTAATTGTTACAATAAAATTTTCTAATTTAATTAAATTGTTCAAAATGAGCAAAAATCAAATATTATAACAATTAGGAAAGTTTTTTATTCCACAATCAGTTGATTATAAATTCAGTTCTATGATTATCATGGGTTAGGTTAACAATTTTTTCTTAATCAATATAATTTTCACTGTTAAACAACAATCAATGAAGTAAATTAAACGTTAATTACAATTATTGTAAACTGATTTTTTAATTTTCTTTTAATTAATTTTGATTCTAATTAGTTGATCATTTCTTTCATTTTGATACAAGAAAAAAGTTCATCTTGATTAGTTTCCTTTCCTGTTGTTAGATGGCAACACTTTCGATTTGTTTACATTTTCACTTTTTTTCGGTTTTGTGTTCAAATTTTAGTTCAATTGTTTTCCTTCATTGATTAATTGCTGATTAACCTTGTTAATCTTATTTCTAGTTAATTGTTCTCTGTTTCTGTTTAAGGATGAATGAACCTGTTTTTATCAGTCATTATGATAAGAAGTTGATCGATATCAATGATCTTCCTGTTGGTAATCCGGTTGTTATTAATACTATTCAATTACTCCGATTGTTAACCAAATTGGATCAAGCCGGTTCCTCATCTTCATCTTCATCTTCTGATTTTCTTATTTCCTCTGATGATCTTCAATGTTTAGAACTTAAACAAGCTTCTTCTAGTGATGATTATGATCACCTATCACGATTCTTAAGTCAAGAATCTGTCCAACAATTGTTGAAACGATCTATCATTCTGATTACTACTCATGCTGGATTCCATGAGACCAGTGAAAGTATCATTGAGATATTAACCCAAATCACTGGTGATTATCTTAAGAAACTGACACATCTATTAAGATCTTCAGATGATTCCAAACACTTTAGAGGTCCAAATGATTTCATTGATTTACTTAATCGCGCCTTCGCTGAGATTGGATTGGATTTACCAACTATTCAACATTACGAATCAACTTTAAGATCTTATCGTAATACTGTTCACAAAGAAGTAGTTAAAAAGTTAAACATAATTCAACAAAATAATTCTGCAAAATTTAATTGAGTCATGTAAATCTCCTTTTTTTACAAACATATTTATATATCTGTAATTGCACATAAGTAGTAGCATGTAGATGAATGGATTCCATCAGGTCTATTGACTGTTTCTATTTGATTTTTCAAAATAGTAATTTATCCCTTCCATTTTAACTGTTATCCATTCATCTTTTAAGTATTAATACTTGATCCTTGTAAATGTTCACATTTCCTCTGTAGAGAAGTAGATTGTGAGATCTTTAAGGAAGGGGCCAAGGAATTGACAGAGAAATTGAAATGGATCCTCTTTAAAAAACATGTCTTCTCAATTCACTGTAACCCATTTTGTCCAATGTTGGTTGAAGTGTTTCCTTGACCATAGCCGGTGGACCACACATCATAATCATCGTATCATCAGCTGGTGGGAACAAACAATCTCGGATCATATTATCATCAACCCGACCCACTTTGTGTTGCCAACCCTCTTCTGATTTACCTAAAGTGTAATGGATTTTAACTTGGTCGGGAAATCTTGACGCTATTGGTCCAATTCTTCACGTAAAAGAATATCATCTGATGTATGATTTGCAAATAGGAATGAAACTTGTGTCTTATCCTCCGGATTTGAAATAATCTCACGTAAAACGGCAAACAAAGGTGTAAGGCCAGTTCCACCAGCGATCATACCCAATTTATCGTAATGGTATTTAACCAATGGATCAGTTTTCTTTTTCTTAATAAGAAAATCACCATTACCAATGTAAATCGCTCTTCCATCAGGACCTCGAATATCAATTGTCTCTCCTATTTTCATACTTTCCAAGTATTGAGACATTTTTCCTCCATTAGGATACTTTGGGTTTTGGTTAGCAAAATAAACCTGAAAATAATGTAAATGTAACGTGATGAGAAAATATAATTGACATTGATCTACAATACGTTGAATTTGAAATCAATATATTGATTATATCCAATTTAATCATCTTGTTCAGATCATATGAAACTTTCATCATATTGTTTCTCATAACATTAGTGGTTATCTGGATTTATCAAAACCTCTGACGATTTAATTTGATAACTAAGCTAACATGTAATGGTTTTGTATCCAAATAAGACACAAATTGTTATTAGACTTGAGTACTTGTTGATGAGGTTGATTGGTAACCATTTTGTCAAGATTTACAATCGATAAGTTGATTTACTCTTCAAAACGAAGATGCCAAAGTCTCTGTTTTAAGCTGTAAGACATCAAGATACTCACTTTGATAATGAGATCGAAATAGCCTTTGGTTTCATCGCCAGTGATTGGTGAATAAGGACGAATTACTAAATCGCCGTTGATTTTAGCCGATAGATAAATATGTTCACCAGGACCAACACCTAGAACAGAATCTTCCGTAGGTAAACCGAATCTAAAGCGTCGAGTATTCCAATTGATATTCTATACATAAAAAATTAAAAAGACAATTAGATATCTGACTACCTGATTAACCAGAATTTGACCCATTTTCCTTCAATTCAACAATTGAGGTTCAAAGAGTAAAAGGAAAATAGTAATTACCTCTTTACCAAGCAATGGAACTTGATACTTGACATTAGAATCCATCAGTAATCTCTTTTTACTTTTTGATTTACCCTTTTTAATCCATAGAAATATAAAAATACCAACAATTAATGTAGTAATAGAACCAATTACAGCTGAATTAGCCTTTAAAAAGAAGGAAAAACAAAAATTAATTAGGCCCAAGGATTAGATAGAAACGAATGACAAAAAATAAGTAAACAAACCAATAAGAAGGGATGAAAACTGAAACTGGGAAACTAATTAATTTATTGTTGACGTTATAATTACTCACCACAATTCCCATATTGGTAAACAATCAACGATGTGACACTAATAATAGAAATTAAATAGAAATCAATTAAAAATGAGGAACAACAATCAAAGTAAAAGTGTAAACATCAACTGAGTCTTTCGGTTGAGTAACAAACAGAAAACATATGATGAGACATGAAGAGTACAAGAGATAAGCTGAAAATGAGAAAATGTTGTAATCGTTATGATGGAAAAGTTAATTAAATTTAATGGAAATATGGATCGTTGATTGTTGATTGTTACCTTGTCACCGAGTTAATTGTTATAACAACAATTTGGATTGAAACCTTGACTTTGAGTGCGAATTGAGCAGATTGTCAAAGTCTCTTTATGTACTTAAATTGTCGGTACTTAATTGTGACAAAATCAAACATCTACACTTAATCAATCACCTTTTTTTAATCATTATCGGGTCAATGATTAGTTTAATCAACGATGGTTACGACTAATGGATTAATCAATCCATTAGAGTATTATGTTAATGATTGATTGGTTTTCCTTCACCAATTTGATTAGTATAATTGTTGAAAGAGTAGAAATTAAATTGTAATCACAATTACGATTACGATTCATATAGTTAATTGTTGATTAGTTTGTTTGTTTTCAATTTCAATGAATGAAAATGATGAGATTATGATTAAAGGAAATTGATCTTTTAATTAACTATTTAAAAACTTTTCTTTCAACTAATTAACATTTAATTAACTTCCGAGAAGATTAATCGTATCATCTAATTTCATTAAACAAATAACTTATCACTAATTGTTGTTAGTTGATCAATTTCCTTGTAAATTGATTGTTAAATTGCATTTTCTAATTAAATATTAAATTACTTTGTCTATTAGTCAATTTGCCTTATATGATATTAAGTAACAACAACAACAATTAAAGTAGATTAGTTTTCCTCTTTCCAACTTTTTAACAATTAAGGTTCAAGGTAAAAGTTATTCTTTAATTTTAATTGTTATCGGAACAAATTAATTATCAGCTAATTCACTTCAAGTACATTCAAGTTGATTGTTGTCGTTGTTAAGATTAAACCAAAGTTCTGAACTAAAGTTAAAACATTAAAACGATATTAAGTAAATACAATATACGAGCTAATTGACAGTTACGCTGATTTATTGGTAACAATTAAAAATTCATTTTCTAAACAAAATGATTAATTGTAATTAAAGAAAATAAATTAACTTCTATTCTTTTCAAACAATAGATGGCGTTGATGGAATTCTTTCTTTCTCAGCATTTCCGAGATGAATTTTCATTTATCTTGTTACTTTTACTCCTTAAATCCTCGTGGTGTCTTCATCCTTTGGTCTAATTGTAGTTTTATCTCATTCTTTTATCACAATTGATTAAATTTTTTTCATCTTCTAAATTTTTTTCTAATTAACAATCAATTTGATCGAATTTCAATCAGGATGAATTCAATTGATGACGATGGTACATTCCTGTTCACCTCTGAATCTGTGGGAGAGGGACATCCAGGTAAATTAGAATTTCTTTTTTTATTATTGTTCTCTTTTTGTTCTCTCTCTCTCTTTCTCTTTCTCTTTTGTTCTCTTTTAATTATTTTACTGTGTTGTTATTTTTAACCTTTTCTATTTGTGTTATATTGTTCTCTTTGTTGCTATGCACTAATAGATAAACTTTGTGACCAGGTTAGTGATGCTGTTTTGGATGCTCACCTTGCATTGGATCCATATGCTAAGGTTGCATGTGAGTCTATTAGTAAAACCGGGTTAGTCATGGTTTTTGGCGAGATTACCTCTTCTGCTCACGTTGATTATCAAGATGTTGTTCGTCAAACAGTTAAACACATTGGATTTGATAGTAGTGATAAAGGTTTCGATTATAAAACTTGTAATGTTCTGGTTGCCATTGAACATCAAGCTCAAGAAATTTCCCAAGGTGTTTGGACTGATAAAGATGATGAACATTTAGGTGCTGGAGATCAAGGGTTAATGTTTGGCTATGCTACTGATGAGACTGAAGAGTGTATGCCTTTAACTGTTGTTCTTTCTCATAAATTGAATGAAAAATTATCTCAACTTAGACGTGATGGTACATTTGCTTGGGCTCGACCTGATTCCAAAACTCAGGTTACCTGTGAATATCGTTTCGATAAAGGAGCCGCTATACCATCAAGAGTTCATACTATTGTTATCTCTGTTCAACATTCACCAGAGATTGAAATGGATCAACTTAAGAAAGAAATTATGGAAAAGGTGATTAAAGTTGTTATTCCTGACAAATATTTGGATGATAAAACAATCTATCACATCAATCCTTGTGGGAAGTTCATCACTGGCGGTCCATTGGTAAGTTGACTATTTAAGTGACTTTTTATTCATTTAACACGAAAGATACGCTTCTAAATATTGGATCAATCAATCATTTATTGATATTCTCTCTCTCTCTCTCTCTCTCTCTCTTTTTACCCTCTGTCAGGCTGATGCCGGTCTCACTGGACGTAAGATAATCGTCGATACTTATGGAGGTTGGGGTGCTCACGGAGGAGGAGCTTTTTCTGGTAAAGACGCTACTAAAGTAGATCGATCTGGAGCCTATGCCGCTCGATGGGTCGCTAAATCGCTTGTTAAAAGTGGACTATGCAGACGATGTAGTGTCCAGGTAAATATTAACCGATAACAAGATAATATAAACAAGAGTAATCTGACTCATTTAATTAATCGTTGATCGTTCATTAATCTCTTGACATTTAATTAAATCTCTTATTTCATTAATTTAGATCTCATATGCCATTGGTATCTCAGAGCCTCTTTCAGTTACAGTATTTTCTTATGGAACTTCATCTTTATCGTCAAAACAACTGCATGATATAGTTATGAAAAACTTTGACCTAAGACCTGGAACAATCATTAAGTAATTATTTCTCTCCTTAACCACTAGAGAAAATAATTTCAACTTTTTTTCACTAACTTTTTGTTTTCCATTTTTGTTTTCAGGGAATTGGGTCTTCGAAAACCGATCTTTTCAAAAACGGCAGTTTGGGGTCACTTTGGAAGGGAAGGGTTCCCGTGGGAGGTAGCGAAACAACTTCAACTTTAAATTAAACATCTTCTGAAATCTTATAACTTTTTTTCACTTTTGCAATAATCTGAATATTGTAACATCTTTTCATTCATTTTTCGGATTAGCAATTATGTTGAATCAATAATTAAAAAATTGCGCTTAAAATTTTTCATTAGTTTGTTTTTGTTTTCTTGGTTAACTAAGACAATTTTAACCCACAACTAAAAAGTGAGTCAAAGTATAATTCAACCATTAAGAATAAAAAAACGAAATGACAGTTCGATTAACAATCAATTGTTCAATAATAATATCTAAGAAATTAAGTTTGGAACGTTGAGATTACGGCAATGGATTAAAAGAAGAAGAAGAGAATCAAGTTGATTGTTTTCGAGGAAAAAAATCGAAAATCAAATTGATGGGAAAACATTGAACGGAAGGAAAAAGTTGCCAATCATAATCACCAAACAAGATCAATAATCAATCTAATCTGATTAATCTGTTAGAGAATCAAAACTAACCAATAGATGTGAAAATGTTAATTTGATGACCAATAGAAAAGAAGATTAAATTTTTCATCTCACTTTTTGTGGTATTTTGAAGAAATTACAATTTGTTTCCCTTGAGATTGTCAACTAATTAGACTCTGTGGTTGGTCTAATTGTTTGAGAAACAATTTAAACGAAAAGAAATAACATCTTTTGATGAACCTAATTGTCAACAATTAAAAGCCAAGGGAAAGAATTGCAAGAAAACAAATGAGGGAAAAACAAATGTATGAGTCATGAGCTTTTTAGAACAACAAACAAATACCAATAATTATGTTCGCATGACGATTGGTGAGAAAATGATGAGAAGATGATGAAAAAAATGATGATGATTACGAAGAGACAATGTTACAGTTGCGATAAGAAGAAAAGTGTCTCTCTCGTTCCTGGTTCTCCCTCATTCTCCCTCCAGTCAATTTGTTCTCTTTCAACGAAAGAACAAATTAATTTCCCTCTTCTCTTATCAATGGTTAAGATTGTGAAAAGTTGGAGGGAAAAACAATGAGCCTGATCACTTGTTAATCTGCTTATTAAAAAGCCAAACAGTCAATGTGAATCTTAATCAGTTTAATCAAATCTTTTCCCTTACAGTTAATCACCGAGTAATTTTATTCTATTCTTTTATTTACCTTGTCAACAATTTATTGATTATTCTCTAAATTTTACCTTCTCTCATTAGATAATCTAATCATTTTGTGATTGTTCGTTTTTCTGCCTTTGATTAGAATTTGATTATTTTTTTCTTCTTCTTCTTTATTGTGTGTTGTGTATCTCCATCTTTAATCTTTGTCTCTCCTCATCTAATCTTCCATCTAATCTTCTTCTTCTCCAATGGCAATGGATAGTTTTTCTAAGCGTCGTCCACCCAAATTCTCGGAGCCCATTGATTTCAATCTCAAGGCTTCTGAATTTTCTCATTCCAATCTACTGGTAGATCGGTTTAATGGACTCTTTTCAAGTGGATGGTCAACCAATGATCAACATGGATTGTTCAATTTTAGTGGTAATCTAAATTCTACCTCTAATCTTACACCCGCTGGTGAGAATAACAATATTACTAATAATAGTAATAGTGTTAACAACAATTCTAATTGTGGTACCATTGAGGTACCACTGGTGTTGATGGTAATGGTGGTGGCCTCTATTCTAGTAATTTAACTCATGCAATCAATGGTATTAATTCAAACCCATTTAATACCAAAGGATTAAACAGTTATGATTATAACAATCAATGGATCGCTCCACCGAGAAGTTGCCCTCCTATTGGAACCAGGGATTTATTTTCTTCTTTCTCGGTCACTCCCCGTAATCATATAAATTCAAATCACTTATCAAACACCAATAACAATCAAATTAACTCGCATAATTATAATTCCATCAATCCTGCAACTAATTCCAACAGAGATAATACCAATAATTATCATAACAATCTTACCACTGGACATCAACAACACTCGACTAATCCAAACACCATCAATAATAATACCAATAATTCCTTTGGTATTGGTAATAATAACAATCATCATTCTATGGTCAATAGTAGTTATAATAACTCTGATAATTCATTGGCTGCTAACAGTACTTTAAATGGTCTTCAAGCTTCTTATGTTCCACCAAGGGTTCGTCGACGTAATCCAACTTGCACCGAATGTGTTTTCTGTAAAAACAATGGTCATCCACCGGCATTTTACAAGAGTCACATTCTCAAATGTCCAGAGGGTAACATTATCTGTCCTGTTCTTCGCTGTTACAATTGTCCCATTTGTCAGAATGGCGGTGGAGCAAAAGCTCATACACTTCGATATTGCCCATGGAATAAACCATCATTCTGGCAACGCAATAATCGACCTTAAATCCCGATTCAATTTTCCTTTTTCCTCTCTCTCTCTCTCTCTCTCTCTCTTTCCTGCTAACCGAATATTTAACAGACTTGCCTACCAAATGTAAGCTATTTGAATGGGTTAGCACCAAGGAGAGAGACCGACCCTATGAAAATTTGTAATAAATGCTCTCATGTTGTAAAGAGCTCAGTCTCTCTCTCTCTCTCTTCCCTTTCTCTTGAATTCTAACCTCTGTCTTTCTTGTTCTCTACCGTCTCTCTCTCTCTCTCTCTCTACGATTGTAATACCAGATACACATATTTGTAATCTGCGCACTTGCGGATATTCTTCTCCTCCTACCAAAGAATAAGCTTTTCCTTGCAAACAATCTCGAAGAAGAGTCGCCACCTCTGTTTTCTCATCTCTTGAATCTCTCTTTTCACTTGTAATCGAACAAAAGAAAGAGAAACAGAGGTGGCGACTCGCGTGCCAATTGTATGTATCACACATTCTCCCTTCGAGTTGCTCTCTTTTCATCCTTTTCTTTTGTTTCTGTGGAATATTTATTTTTTGGGTTTATTATTAATAAATTTAATTAACTTATTGTCTAAATTTAAATTGTGATTTTCTTTTTTAAAGTTGTTTGAAAGTCTATTCAAACAAAATAAACATGGACACATATGAAAGTAGTGGCTATGGTGCTTCTGGCAGTTCTCATGGCGGAGGCTATATGGCAGGGGGATATGGATCTAATTCAGCTCCAGGCGGGTACAATTCTAGTGGATATGCATCTTCTAGTTATCCTCCTAGTGGTGGAGGCTATGGAGGTGGAGGAGGTTATGGTAGTGGTGGTGGCGGTGGTTATCAATCTCAGGGTCCACCAGGTCCACCTGGACCACCTTCACATTCAACTGCTGGCGGTTATGGTAGTGGTGGTGGTGGTGGAGGAGGAGGAGGTGGGTACTCATCTCAAGGACCACCCGGGCCACCTTCACATGGAGCTCAAGGAGGGTATGGTGGTGGCGGTGGTGGTGGATATCAATCACAAGGACCACCAGGACCACCTTCACATGCATCCCAAGGAGGTTATGGCGGTGGATATCAGTCACAGGGACCACCTTCACACTCAGCTCATGGAGGTTTGTATTTTTTGTTTTATTTTGTATTTTTGTCACTTGATTTGTTTAAACTCATTGTCACTTTTTTCTTTTTAGCTGAATACATGCATGACACTGTATTTGTTTCGGGATTACCAAAAACAGCCACTGAGACTGATATTGCCGAATATTTTGGCTCCATTGGTTTAATAAAAGTAAGTAATTTTCTTCATCTTATACAATTTGAATCAATGTTAATTTTTGTTTTCTTATATTACAGAAAGATAAAAAAACTGGTAGAGATAAAATTTGGATCTATAGAGATAAAGACTCTGGTCAAAGCAAAGGAGAAGCCACTGTAACTTATGATGATCCTCCAACTGCCAATTCCTCGATATCATGGTTTAATGGTAAAGAACTGTGGGGAAATACAATTAAAGTAGAAATGGCTCAAAGAAAAGTACCACCAGGTGGATTTGTTCGTGGTGGAAGTAGAGGAGGAGGCAGTGGAGGAGGTCGAGGTCGAGGTGGACCCATGGGTGGAGGATTTGGGCGCGGAGGTGGAGGTGGACCCGGAGGTTAGTTTTTTTAATTTACTGAGATTACTTTACCATGATACTCATATGTTTCTCTTTTATTTCTTATCATCTATTCAAGGACCTGGTGGTCGATCTGGAGGTGGTGGTAGAGATGGAGACTGGAATTGTCCTAATCCAAGTTGTGGGAACAATAATTTCGCATGGAGGACAGAATGTAATCGATGTCAAGCACCAAAACCTGGAGGAGCTCCGGGCGGTTCAGATGGAGGTTCACTGCATTCAGAGGTAACTTTTTCTTTTATTTTGAATTTTCCATTGAGTACCAATCGACTAGAGTTTTTTTTTGTTACAAAATCTTTTGACAAGTGAGCATAGTTTCAAAAGCGATAAATTTGCGTTCTGTTTTTCACAGAATTCTATTTTATGTGTTTAGCTTTTAACTTGATTTTACCCTTTAAAGGCGCCAAAATAAATGAAAATTTTTCCATTAATACAGATGGCAGGAGATGGTATGAGACGTAATGGAGGAGGTATGCGCGGAGGTCGCGGTGGCTCCGGTGATCGAGGTGGTGGCCGTGGAATGGGCCGTGGAGGAATGGGAGGTAGCCGAGGAGGTTTTGGCCCTAGAGACGGTGATATGGGCAGTGGTCGAGGTCGTGGTGGCGGTGATGGTCCAAGGGGGGGTAGAGGAGGTGGTGGTCCACCAATGAGAGGGCGAGGTGGACCTATGCGCAGAGGTCATGATAGACGTCCTGGACCATATTGATAGGATCTTATTAAATTCCTTCAGATCTCAAGTCATGCGGTCAAGGTCAACTTTTCCACAGAGATATCAATTTAATACTCGTGGATTAGAACTTCTTTAACTTTTTCAAATGAGCAAAAAAAAACTCTGGTAACAAAGATTAAAGTCAAAAGACCTTTTGTAAAGCTATTTATCGACATAATTCAGTAATGAGAGTATAAAAAAAATGTCAGTTAATAAGCTAATAAGAGTTAGAAATACAAGTGTCATAAAAGAAGTAAATTAGTGAAAAAGCGCGAGAAACTCCACTTGTATTGAGACTCCGGTACAACTTAATCTCTCAACCCGCTCATTAAAGTGAAACGCACAATCAAAAAGATATAAGAAAAAAGAAGTTCAGTAATCGAATAAAATTGGAAGCCATTGCCCTTTACCTCTTCAGACATTAAAAGGGTTGAGAAAAGAAAATAATTCAAATTGAGAGATAAAAGGTTGGATTAAAAGCTTTGTGATTACGCTAAATATCAATGACATTTGATTAGCTTTTTTACTTTTTTATTTTTTCCATTTTAATCTTCATCTTCATCTTTCACATGGTCACCATTCTACTATGATTATTGCTCTCGGCTATTTAGATTATCTCATGTACTTCCTATTCTCTTCCTACTTTCCTTCATATTAATTGCTTTGACTTTGATAGAAATGTCACCAATCTTTAGAAAAAGTTTAGATTAACAGATCTGTTAATTAAATGAACAAGAGACTCACCGAGAATTTATCTTGATGATTATTTGAATCAATCATTAGAATTGGAATAATTTTATTAGAAAAAGATGATAATGGAACCCGGAAAAATCAAAAAGAATCAAATGAAATATGAAGATGAAGATTGATAAAAGTTCCGAAAAGAAATAAAAAAGGAAGATAATAAATGATGTTTTTCTTGTTAATCTTATGAATAAATGTATTGCCCTTTTGTGGCCATTCCAATGATCTCAAACAACCGGATTATTGATTTTCTTTGCAAGAATCAAGGGGAAAGTAAAGGTAAGTATTTTTCTAATTCTCCATCTTCATCTTCATCTCTGATCTTTAATCATCTCTCTCTCTTTACCTCCCTTTCTCTCTTCTTTCTATTATCTCATCATCATCTTCTTAATCCACACTCAGTCCAACCCTCCCGATCTGTGGATCCACCAAGTACCAGGTAAGAAGAGACCGGTCTTGGCCCGTCTTCTTATTGACCTTAACTGCCCACCACAGGTTATAAAGAAACCAAATACTCCAGTGAAAGTCATTTACATTTAAACTTCACTCTGGGATCAGTTAACTTGAAAAACTTTAATTGTGCTCAATTGAAACGGGAACATTTTTTTTCCAATTGTGATCAGCGAAAGTGTTGTTACAATAATTAACTCAATCAAAATGAAAGGATTAATCATCTCAATCTTTATTGTTTCTCTTTTTGTAATCGGTAAGATTTTTATTCATTCATTAATAATTTCATCTAATCCTGGAATCAAGTTGATTGATAAGTCACTTGATTACTGATTCAACTTTTATTAGAATTGAAATTAACATGGAATATTTAATTGAACATAATTTTCTACAATTAATTGGTGACTGTTTTTTTTTGGTTATTCGATTAATTTTTTTCTCTCTTATTACAATTAAGGTAATGGTTTACCTGTTGCTGGACCTGTTGTTGAATCAGTTGAATCAAAATCAAGTGGATCAACTGAATCAATCCTTTTCTATGGATCTAAATCAGAAACTGTCGTTCCATCAGTTGATGGAGTTGAAGGTAATTCGGTTGTCAATGATTTAGTTGCTGCTCCAGTTTCATCAGTTGGCTTAGATGAGATCTCGCCAGTGGCTGATAAATCAAAATCACCAGTGGTCTCTAATCAGGATGAAATTTCAGTTGACAAACTCGCCACTGTGTCAACAATTATCTCTGATTCAGTTCCCGAAAAGAAAGTAAAAAAAGGTAAATCAGATGAAGGTAAATCTTCAACTGTACAAAAAGTTCAGAAAGTGGAAAGTTCAGAAAAAGTTGCTGAGGTTCCAGTTGCATCGCCATCAGTTGCTGAAGTTCAAACTGAAGCTCCATCTCAATACTCAGCAGGAGTTTCAGAGGATTCAGTTGCCAAGAATTCACCCCAAGTGGCTCCAGTTGCTGATTCTGTTCCTGTAGCTGTTGCTCTCGCTGCACCAACCATCAAGGTTGTTCCTGTCAAAGCTGATGAGGTTAAGCCTGAAGCAACTGCTGCCTCTGCTTCATCCTCCAGCTCAGATATTTCAGCTTATCTTGCTGAGCCAATCAACCAGGCAACCAAATTACTTGTTGACCTTGAACAACAGATAAAAGGTTATCTCAATACTGACTTGAAAGATGATGCTGCATCCACTTTGAGTCCACTTTCTTATGGAGCTGGTTCAGAAGAGCCCGCTATTGAGCCCAGTTCAACTGATGCCCGTCAAAATGAGCAAATTGCTGGTATGGTTGATCAAATCGAAATGACCATTCACAATCTTGATGTAAGTCTTGACCATTTAAATCACTTTTCTCCTCATTTCTAACCATTTTCCACCTCTAATCTAATCAATAGCAATCAATTGAAGATTTGATGGCCAATCGACGATACATGACCGCCGCTATGATGCGATCAATGAGATCCTATTTACGAGGAGTACAAAACAATTTACAACGTCTTCAGAATCGACTTCGAGCCCTTCAAGCTGTTGCATCTTCAGCTTCTGCCCCACCCGCTGACGATGGCTCAGGAACTGCTGGCTATCCAAGCAACGCTTTCTTTGAAAGTTTAAGGTAAATAAACTGATTGATTGTGATCAACAATTTAAGTCAACAACAAACTAATAAAACTTTGTTTCCTTTCAAAATTCACAGAGTTCGAGTTAACCGAATCACAACCGACATTACCAACCTCATGAACCGAATGAGATCAACTTTGGTTTCATCAACCACTGCCAGACCGTTCAGTGGTTAATCAATCATCACAATCACCCACCTTAACCCACCTTAACCCACCTCAGGTAATAATTTACTTGCACAGGATGTATAATAACGGGTCATCGTTTGATTAAATTATTACAATTTTCACCTAATCAACTCAACTCACTTTCATTATCAATTCAATTTCAATAAAAACCAACATGTTTAACAACATAACAATATCAAGATGATCTCTGTAGTTAATTTTTTTTACC